AGCTCCTCCAGCCCAGGGAGGGGCACAGTTCCTGCAGGCTCCCGATGTGCCCATTCATCATTTTTTACTGAGGGAAAGCACCTCTTGGGGTTACTGGTGTACATTCACATTTATTTTTTTGTCAGCAAACTGCCTAAAATGATTTATCTAAGGTTTAGGGAGTTTCCCCAGTTGACCCTGAACCCTAAAAAAATTGTGATTGCCCCTGACGCAAAACTGTGGCTCGCAGGAGCGTCGCCCTGGTACAAAGATGCTTCAGAGTGTGGGGCTGAGCATCCGTCCTTGCTAACCCAGAACCTGCCTGTGGGAGGGTGGCTGGGCTTCGGCGAGGATGTGTCCTGGCTCCGTGGGGAGCTGCGGGTTCCCAGGGCTGCTGTCAGCCCTCCCGCGGGAGCTGGAAGTTCTGGCTCAGCAGCTCGGCGGGTTGCAAACCAGCGTGAGAGCGGACGGGCACCGCGCAGGGGAGGGCACAGACCCGGGTCAGGCTCGGTGTGTCACCTCACACAGGTAATTAGGCACTGCTCTTCAAAGCACTAAGTGGACTAGTATTGAGTTTAAGTGCTGTTTACTAGCTCAGCCGTCTGTTGCCGCAGTTTCTAATTTCATTGAAAGAGTGCAATTTATCCTGGAGCCGCTCCAAAGATTCAGCGGCGGCGTAGGACAAGAAACCACAGGAAGTAACTAAACTTAAATCAAAGAACGGAAACGACTCGGTTCAAATTTAGAAAGTGCACATTGTTTTCTCGTAGATGTGCCATTTCCTCACGGGGTGACCTTTATTCATAAATAATATAATGTTGCAGATCAGTTTAAAGAAGCGGTGGGTAAAGCTTCGGAGCAAGTTGCAGAGGGGAAAAAAGCTGCTGGGATTGAGAAAAAGGAAAAAGTGAACAGCTGAAGGCATTGTCAGTTGTTTGTGTTCAGACAAACAAATTAACCTTTCCCAACAGCATGGAAGATTTTAAATATTACAGCAGTCTGAAAGAAAGTCGGGCAAAAACTGCATCCAACTGCAACCGAGCCCCCCACGAGAAATGTGTTTGTGCCAGTGGATGCACACCTCCGATGCAAGAGCAAATCCCCCCCAAAATCTAACACAACGCCACAAAAATTGGAGCATGAACTAATTATGCATTTTTGGAAGGAGAAAGGGAAGTGCATTTTTTACCCACTGAAAAATGTTACTCGAGTGCACTATTATATTTGTAAATCGCTGCTTTGATAGATTGCTTGGCGTTTGAGGGGTTGGAAATCTGCCAGTTCTGCCGGGATCAATAG